GTTCAATGGGAAACTTAAGCATTGTTTCTGTCAGAAGTGTATTCCACATGCCCAAATAGAATTGGGGGGGAAAAAAAAAGATTTTTCTATATTACATAATACAGAGTATTCATTTAGGAATTAAAGCACCTTTTTTAGTAATTTGTATTATGATCTTTTGAAACTAACTTAAACTCATACATTTTCTAAGCTATAAAATTTTGGGATTCTGTTACAGTGGGATATTTTTTACAGTTCTTTTTGGGTCTCAAGTTTTATAATTCTAAGTTACTGTCATTCAGTATTCGTGTTGATCTAGAGAAACCAAGACCTATTCTCTCTAGTAGTGTTTTTCTAGGGGACTTTAAATGTAGACTTGGTAAGGGAAAAGATAATTGGAGAGCTAGCTTCTCATTATGAGGATGGATGAAACTCTAACTTCTAGAGACTACTTGGGAGTTACTTAGAAATGTAATTACGAAGCATCTCAAGAAGATTGGAGTAGATGACCTAATCATTTGAAAAGAGGAAAAAATATGATAGTTGGTTTTTCAGCCATATGCTGAATTTTCAAAGTTCTCGTGATTTCTGAAATTAAAGTAGTTTTTTTTTTTTTTAAAATCCCAATCTTGCTTCATCCTTTCGAAGCATAGGAAACTAAGTGTCATAGTATCTCTTGTGCTCTCTCAGCTGGTGTCTGGGTATAGGGTGGAATCAGGACAAAATGCCATCTGTTTCTCTTACAACATCCTAAGAGCAGCACTATCTGGCTGGGCATAAACAAAGATGTGAAACACAGGTCTCCTTGTTAAATTTATCTCTAATTACTCTGGAGATAAAGGAAAGTGAAATGCTACCTCATTATGTCTTGTAATGAGAAAATATTTCAAAATAAGCCATTTTCCTCAATAGTTTAAGAGATCAAATCAGACCTAAAAGAAATTTACAGAAAATGCTATAAAAACATAACCGATGATTACATGCATCACAGTCAATAAAACCTACAGCAGTAGTTAGAATAATTCTTTCCCACTGTAGAGTAAGAGAATGTTTCTATTTCTAGAATTTCCCAACTGAGTAAATCTCTTATTTTTATTTTTCAAACAAACATAGTTGTAATAGATTGGAACTTGCCTTCAGAGATTTAAGTCTATACATTTTATGGATGTTTATGTGTATATATGTAATGTATATGACAAAATGATAGTATGTTTCAAGAAAAAAAACAGTGAGGTATTTTGCCCGTTTCCTCATCCTAGGTACATGAGGGCAAATCATCAGTGTATCTAGTCACTTCTACCCCTTTAATATCATACTCGTCAAAGGCAGAGAACAGGCAGAGCAGCAGGATGTGGCTTTGCATGGAACCAACTTCCCATAGCAAAATCTGTGGTGGTTAAGAGTATCTTCTCTGGATTCCAAGGGGCCTGGATTAAAATTCCAGTTGTGTTATTTCCCACTGCATAATGCGGGAAGTTGCTTTATCTTTTTTGAGCCCCAGTGTCTTCATCTGTACAATGATGAATGATATGAGTATGGGCATCATGGTTTCTTCTTAGAATTAAAGGAGCTAATTCACAGAAAATGTTTACATGGACCTGGCACACACTGACACTCAGTGTTTTCAGGGGTGGTTTGTCAGTCCTTGCTGAAGGAGGGCATTCTCTCTGATGGACAATCTGAAGAACTATTAATGGAGACATTAATGAGCACTACTAGATTAAGATTTTACTCAGGGAAATCAGTGACCAAATGTGTAGCAGTCTGGCGAGGACAAGCCTTGCAGTACATCTCAATCTTACCTCACCAGCCATTAAAAATGTGCCCGCTTCACCTGGGTGGCTCAGTTGATTAACTGTCTGCCTTTGGCTCACGTCATGATCTCAGGGTCCTAAGATTGAGCCCTGCATTGCGCTCCCTGCTCCCTGGGGAGTCTGTTTCTCTTTTTTCCTCTGCTCCTCCCCCTTGCTCACATTTTCTCTCTCTCTCAAATACGTACATAAAATCATTAAAATTTTTTTTTTAATTTTTAAATTTTTAAATTAAAAAATTTTTTTTTTAGATTTTGTTTACTTACTTGACAGAGAGAGACCCAGCAAGAGAAGGAAAAGAAGCAGGGGGAGTGGGAGAGCGAGAAGCAGGCTTCCTGCTGAGCAGGAGCCCGATGCAGGGCTCAGTCCCAGGAGCCTGGGATCATGACCTGATACTAAGGTAGATGCTTAACAACTGAGACACCCGGGCACCCCTAAAAAATTTTTTTAATTAAAAATGTGCCTACTTGTAGTTGGCCACAAATCGCTTTATAGATGTGAACTCACTGATCTCATGTGAAGACTTTAAGAGGTCAGAGACATCTATAAACATAAAAATGGGGACTAGTTGTTCAGTTCAGCTGGTGTCCTCTCATTCTCTGCTGCACTTGCTCCCCCATCGTTTTTCCTACAGTAGAATTTCTATTTGGTCACTCTCCAGGGCTCTCCACTGACTTGTTAATAAAGTCCCAAGTCCCTGGTTTGGTATTCAAGGTCCTTTATCATCTAGCCTCCAGTATTGTGCCAGACAAGGCCTTCTATGTACTTTCATAGCTTAGAGCAATCCAGCCAAACACCACTGTTTTCAATTCTCTCAATTACCTCTCACTTCCCCTCCAGACCTTTGACCATGCCTCTTCCTCTAGCCATGTGGACATGCTACCTACTCTGCAAACTCTACCTCCTAAGTCCACTCTTCAGAAAGGAGTCTTTGTTCATGCCAGCAGTGTGGTCATCCTTTATCTTGTAAACTCTTGCCCAATTTTTTATCCAGTAAAATTTTTTAGCCAGAATCACAGTAGGAAACATATTTTGCATGGATGCATGTTTTACTCAAATACACATATACACATACATGTGCGTGTGAACTTCATGAAATAATACTTACCCTCATTATTTGCAGTATCCCTCTAATGTTTCTTTTCTCTTTCATTTGGCCAAAGTTCTGACTGCAGTCTACTAACTAGATCTTAATTACTCTTTACTTGTACCATAAACTGCAGTTTGAAAAACAGTGATCCACCTGCCCCACACAGAATAACTTTGTTATTTATTGTGTATAGGCATTGTTTTCCTTACCAGACTGAGAGATACTCACAGGCGACACCATGTAGTATGATACAGAGTCTTTCACTATATCTAATCATGTCTTTCACATTAGTTGCCCAGTAAGTGTTTGTGGAAGAGAAAAAGGAAAAAAGGAAGGGCATAAGGGACAAAGGGAAGAAAGAAATAAGAAAAAAAGTCTTTGAAGATATTGATTAGACCCAGATTAGGTTGTTACTATATAACAAGTCAGCAGATAGGATCATTTAAGTTATTTATAGGTGATTTTTCCAGTCAAAGTGGTGTGTGCTTCCTGGAATAACTTTCTTCAACTTCAGTTTAAACTGAGAAGTCAGTGTTACATCACAAACTCTGGAATGAAAAGAAGGATAGCGAGAAAAAAATGACTAATACAGAAAAGATAACATCATGCATGCTTGCTGTGTTCCTTCTCCCTGTTGGGGGGAGTCGGGGGGTAGTGGTGAGAACAAGGGTGTGAAGTGTATCCAGAGGTGAAAAAAGCTTTTGACTTGATTTCTGTAAAGCCTGTGAAAAGCCACTCTGTCATTCCTGAATGTGCTGAACACATCCATATGTGTTGAATACATCAACCCATTTCCCTATACTGCCTATAAACAAAGTCAGTGCTAAGTGCTAGCACATCCAAGCACCACAAGTCTATAAGATGAAACAGGAAGTGTGCTCTGTCTCCTCACATCTGAAATATTGCTTTTCCCTGATGTGCAAGAGTATTTTTTTCCATATTCAAACAGGAAAATGTTGGATAAAATTTTAAATTTGGAAAAGTTATACTAATGACATGTATTTACTCTAACAACATATCCAGTTTGAATGGGATCAAGACACAAGTCTTTGTCGCTCAAAGTCCATCCTCTTAACTAACGTGCTATACTATATATATTCTCTACGGACGAAGTAACAACATGAACACAATGCCTTCCATGGGCATGAATACATTGTCCAAGTCCTTCGTACACGTTTGTTTGTTGTTTTCTGATCTTCAATACAACAGTGAGTATATAGAGACAAGACCAACAAACAGAATTAAAAGGATTCTATAAAAGCTAATAAATTCAGTAGTATTATGTAAAACAAATATTTCCATAAATCATTGAGAATTAAGTCCTATATACTTCACTTTGAAAAAACAATAATATTTTAAGATGAGTTTTAAGAGTTATTATTAAATACTTTCTATTGTCAAAGAAGTATTATCAAAAATAAACATATAACAACAAAACAATGTATCACCTTCATTTTGGTGCCTTTGATTGTTACAATTTAGAGAACTCAATTATTTGAAAATGCATATTTATAGTGGTTCCATTGCCAAAAATTTAGGCATGTTGCGATGTTGAATTTCTTTAAAAATTATTGAATTTCTTAAAAAAATTAAAAAACAAGATTTATTGTCTTCTTTTGGCATATATGTAGAGAGAGAAAGGAGGGAGAAATGCTTTATATCAGGAAGAGATGTACTAATACTGAAATTTTACTGCTTAATAATTTCAATGTGCTATGAAAATATTTAGTAAAATATCCACAGTCCAGAGAATGTCCATTTAATTATTTCATCTGACAATGTTTGTTAGGTTGGCTTAAATATATTGTTAAATTTCAAATTTGTACTTGTATTTCTCACTAGTTTTGTCAGCTATAATTTTGTTTCAGAGCTATGGACTGTTCCTGACGGCTATCTTGAAAATTCATGCTGTTGGTGAGAAGCAGATAGAGTTCGTGAATGAATAGTGAACTGAAGGCTCAATTCATTACAATTAGGAAATTAATTTCAAATCCATGCCTTACTTACTGGCTTAGCAGGAATACACATACAGTTGGCTTTGCTTAAATGTACTAGTCTGTATTTGGCAAAATAAGTGTAAACTTTAAAGCAGCTACTTTAACACAGTTTCCCTTTTGCAGATGTTGGAAATACATCCCCTCGAGGATTAACATCAACAGCGGTTCCTTCAGCAACTGCATCTGTACTAACAACAACCACAATGTCAAATACTGTTATGGAATCAACAGGTGAAATGTCTATAGGTAGGATTAACTCTTAGTGAAATTTACTCTAATTTTAACAGATAAAATTAGTAGCATCTATATAATCTAATCACTGAAAAATAATTTGAGATCTTACATATATTGTTATGAAGGTCTGTGCTTTTTCACTATTTTGAAACTTATGTGTTATTTTGGTTTGAATACAGAACCCTGAGATCACAGTAGGCTTCTTTGATGATATCTCTCTGGATCATCTCCTGTTTGAGAATAATCCTATTGTGAATGTTACATACACAAAGTTTATTTTTAGAGAATAAAAAAAAATCCCCATTTCCTTAGTCATAAAAATATGTTTCTAAATATTCCAATTGTCCTCTTAAATACCACCATTAATAGGGTGAAACCATATTAATAACACACGGATCTTGTTAGTTATATTAGACTGATAATAGAACTAATTTGTAAGGTTCCGTAGCAATGTCATCATTATTGTTACTGAACAGAGTGGCAACAGCATCATGTTTTATGGTTCTAGGTATTTTTACCATTCATGAAAATTAAAATGAGCCATTGGGGTCATTTAATTAAAAACCCAAGAGGTTATCAATCCAATGCATACTGCCTTGTCCATCCTGCGACACACATAAAATGAGGCATATCATTCAGGTTCTATAATCAATGGAGAGAGAAATATAGAATTGCTTATTTATCGCTTATGGGCAGGAACTCTGGTTAGAATGCTAAAGTCACAAGAAGACCTGAAAATCATATACCCTAATGAGGAGATAGCTGGAATTCCTCTTGCTCTTTTCCTCTCCTCTCCACTTACTCCCCATTTAATTTTCATTCTAAGACCAACTTCAGATAAAATGTTGAGGACCGATGAGGTCTGGTTCATGAGACTTAGCTGGGGTGATGATCCTCAAAGAAAAAGAGTCTGATGAATATAGTCTGTTATTTCCAAAATGTGCAATTCTAAGATGAAACCAAACCAATTCTCCTAGAATTCCTGTACCAAACTGGAGAAAGCTTTACACAAAGAGGGCCACACAAGGGATTTTGTTCCCCAAATGTGGTAGGACCACTATCACCAACCAAGGGAAATTTCAAATGACACAGTCAAAAAATAGTCAAGGACCATGGAGCCTCCAGCCAACTCCTGCACTGTATATTTTCTTTTCTTTATTTTATTTTATTTTATTTTATTTTATTTTATGAGATAGAAGTTTACTGAATGCACTGTAAGGGAGCAAGCAGGCAGGATAGCAAAGGGGAGATTGTCTGCCCTTTATTTTTAAAGATTATTTCAACCCTATGTTTTCAGGGTTTAAGCAGAGAAGCATGCTCATACTTTTACCAAGTATAAGCATTTGCTGCTCTCCTCTCTCTCTCTCTTTCTTTCACTCTCTCTGTGAGTTGCCAGTGGTGTTCTTGATATAAAATTGCATTAATTTGGTAAAAGCATGTTACTTTTGTAATAAAAAACATCATCCCAAAAGGACCAATAAAGAGAAGGTAGGTACTGATATTGCATGCTGACTCAAAGGGTTGAAGTTTTGCAATTTCTGCATTAATCCTTGGAACTTATGCTTTCTCAGTGAGATGATTACTAGCCCTGACCATAGTGACCTGTGGTGAATAACAATGTCAAATTAACATAGACCCTAACTGTTATGTTATGTGACCATGGCAGGGAGAGATGGAAGCTTCAGAGAAGGAATTCAGGCAGAATTGTCATTTCTGATACTGGGAATTCATTTTACCTTCCCAGCTTGGAAGGGAAACTCTCTACCTACTCATATAAACTGAGGAGATAACCCTAACAACTTTACCACTGGTGGCTCGTAAAGTGGGTCACTGAAGCCCCTTATCTGAAACAAGTCGCTTCGGAAAACACTTGAAATCAGAGAACATACACACACACACACACACACACACACACACGCATAGCTTCTTCTAAATTTCTTTTCTGGGCATTTCACTGTCTTATATAAACCAGTTAAAAAAAACTAATCTCCAATCTGTGTTCTTCAAAAGTTTTCCCAGATGAGTTTTAAATTTCTCACATTCAATTATACAAATTATAATAGGCCAGTGAAGCTTTACTTTTTATTACAAAAATGTCCAGATGTACCCACAATAGAGCACTATAATTAATCCCCATATGCCTATCTCCCAGAATTAATAATTATCAAAATTTTATCATATTTGCTTTTTTGTTTTCTTTCTCCTCCTTCCCTCCCTTGTTCCCTTCCTTCCTTCCTTTTCCTTTTTCTCTTTCTCCTTTTTTATTTGGTTGTCAAGTGATTTTTAAAAAATATTTATTTATTTATTTGAGAGAAAGAGAGGGCAGCAGCAGAGGCAGAAGGAGAGGGAGAGAAACTCCAGCAGACTCCCTGCTGAACTCTATGCAGGGCTAGATCTCATGACCTTGAAATCATGACCTGAGCCAAAATCAAGAGTTGGAGGCTTAACTGACTGAGACACACTGGTGTCCCAGACATCATGGTCATTAGACAAAATAAAAGTATTTGCAAAAAACAAAACAAAACAAAACAAAACAACAACAACAACAACAACAAAAACCATGGAAAACATCTTTATTTTTCTTTTAAGGCTTTCCAACCAGATGTTCTTATTTTAAAGTCAAAAGATACTTGATTTAATAGTGCTTATGTCTATCTAAAGCAGGTAAATTTCCTTTCTCTCGACAATGGCAGAAATTCCATCATCAGAAAAGTGGAAAATGTGCTACTGAGATGAGAACTCTTCTTGTAGCAATGTAGCAACAGTGGCAGAGGTGACTGACAGCTTTGCTTGAAGTAGGTTTCACATTCAGAGGTTTACCCAGTAAGAGAGAAGGGACCTGATCTCTTCCTTGCTATGTACCAAGTGCTCTGCCCATTTTGTTCAAAGGCCAAGTGGCCAGAGTTAATATCAACACTTGGCAGACACTGAATGGCATCATCATGAGATTAATTTCTTTTTTTAAAATAAATATTTTATTTTTAAAGATTTTATTTATTTGACAGAGAGAGAGAGAGCAAAAAAAAAAAAAAAAAAAAACACAAGCAGACAGAACAGGAGGCAGAAGGAGAGGGAGAAGCAAACACCCCAATGAGTAGAGAGCCCAATGAAGGACTCTGGGATCATGACCTGAGCCGAAGGAGATGCCTAACCAATGGAGCCACTCGGGTGCCCCGTGAGATAAACTTCTCAAAGAGAAAAATAACCTGAAATATCATTCTTAAAACATAATTATTATTCAGCTTGATTTTTAAACCTTTTAATAATCAAACTTTTTTGAATTAGCTGAATTAATTTGTCAGCCCTGATATTTCGCATTTCTGATACTAAATAGATATTCAGTGTCTGCTGAGGTCAATAGAGGGGCCCAGTGTTTTTGGCCATCTCTTCCTTATAGGGTGCCAGTCATGGTGATGTTTACAATGGACTTCGTCTCTGGAAACTAAGATAAAACTGCAAAGAAGGGACTTTTAAAAGGCAGTCTTGTAAATTTTCTTATATTAGTGAGAAAATAGGTTTGGGTACCACATTTTCTCCATATCTTTCTTCTTTTTTTCCATTGTCTTTATATACCTTAGTAAGTTTGAATTGAAAATGACTTACCGGGGGTATCTTTGTACAATATTTTTGGGGTTTTCCTTTTCACTGAGTTTTGAAATTATAAAGTTGGCTTTTTGCTTTTAGTTTATACTCATAAGATATAAAATGTTTATAAATTAGGCAATTTCTTGAAACCCTGATGTCCTAAATGGAACTAAACAAAGGTCCAAAAGATTATTTTGGAAAATGTTATGGATGATAGTTTACTAAAAATTTAACAAAGTACAATTATGATATTTTAATGACTTAATCTTCTATAAATATCTTAATCTTTTATAAATATCCATAAACATCTATAATCTTTTATAAACAAGATTATATAATATCCCTAGATACATATGGTTATAGTATTCTCTTATTGTTCATATTAAATTCAATCTATTTCTTTTATTAACTAGAATAAGTTCTTAATCATTGTTTGCACATAAAATTAACAGAAATCACAATCCTCATTAATTAGTATGACATTTTACTCTTGCACTAATAAGGATGCATTTATACCTCAGAATTTCAACATATTTAGCACTTAAGAATTTTATTATAAATTACATGTAGAATGCTTATCCATATTGGAAAGTGAATATTCATACATTAAATATAAATCTAAAATAATTGTGTTCTGTTTCTGTTATAGATAGAGTAACATTAATTAGATACAGTGATCATGGTCATGATTATAGGATCACTGTTCACACACAAGTTCAGGAACTCCAGAAATGGATAGCCATTCAGCTCTTCAGTTTTCCAAAGACCAAGACTGATATTGAAGCCAAATAGATTTGGGCTGAATGCTCGGGCCAAAGCTCAAATTTGTTACTTATCTTTCCTGTCAAACATGAAGTCAGGGTAGCTATAAAAGGAAAGGGTCAAGGGCTTTAGAAACTCAAGAACTGCACCCACTTTATACTTTTTCTATTTATATTCATGATTATTGTTATATGTATCCTGATTATTTCCTGTAATCATTCCTATTCTTGAAATTTCAAGTGAAATAGGAGACATATCCCAGTGAAACATGTGAAACAAGGTAATTATAAAAATTCAATTTAGTTTGTTCTTGGTACCAATAATGCCAAGAGTAGTGCTGAAGTGAAAAAAATTCACCACATCTGGTTGGAAAGGACAGTTGATTTATATCATTACATCTTCACCTTAAGATGGCATTCTGGGAACACCTGGTGGATCAACCAGTTAAGCATCTAACTCTTGATTTGGGCTCAGGTCATGATTTCAGGGTCATGCTCAGTTATTGAGCCAATGTTGAGCTCTGCACTGAACATGGAGAATGGGATTGGAATTCTCTCTCTCCCTTTCCCTCTGCCTTTCCCCCAGCTTGTGTGCTCCCACCCTCTCTTTCTCTAAAGAAAGAAAGAGGGAAAGAAAGAAAGAAAGAAAGAAAGAAAGGAAGGGAGAAAGAAAGAAAGATGGCATCCCTGTGATTAGGCAATGCAAAAATCTCAAACCTAGCTTTTAGGAATAATGTGTCCTTTGTTGGTTTCTTCTTTTAAAATATAACCCCATATTGGGTAGAGAAGACTGTGAGAATGTCTTAAGTGCTTCAGCACTCTCCATATATTATAATTCCCAGTATCTGCACGTTACAGCCTCTTTCCATTTCTGTAATAAACTATCTCCTCTAATAAGAAGTGAGGAGAGAGGAGCAGAAGAGAACACATCCACCATCCGCTTGGAGGCAATTGTCCCCAGTGTCCCTTCAAAGATCTTTACTTCCTTGTGATTCCTTAGTTTCTTCTCTTAGACAGATCCAGCCAGATTACCTTTGAATACTTTTTTCTGGATGAGTTTTAAAGCATTAAACTGTGCAGAGCCAAATTGTTTCTCCCCCAATACAGCATGCATACCTTTAAGAACCAGGATTTTATCTATGTCACACAATAAAAATAGAACCTATGCCCTAATCACAAAACGATATCCTAAAGTATTTTAAGAAGGGAATGTTGACTAGTATGGCTGTCATATTTGTAAGTTGTATTCACTACATAAAGCAAATCTTTGTCTTTTCTTGGTTCCCATGTTCTACATGAGTCCCTGCTTATCGAAAACATTTACTACATGCCTACTGTATGCCAGGAATGCCTCGATACTACTCAGATTTAAAAAATGACCAAGAGTTTGACACTGCCCTCAAGAGTCTAGAAAAGGGTCTTGCACAGACTGGGAACTCGGTGTATGTTTCATAAATGAATAAATTATCTAATTACAAGAATTTGCAAGTTCCTTTATAATTTATGTAATTTTGGAAGTTGCAGGGTCATAATCAAATCAACAAAATGAAATGTAATTCTGGGAGGAAAAGGTCCTATTGGCCAGGTTATTTTTCTCTTGGGAAAAATAACAATTTTAAATCATGTGTTTTTGCAATATATGTCTTTTGCATGTTTAAAGATACCCAAGTAACAATTTGCAGTGAAAATTTGCTTTGGGGGCCTATTGTAGAAAAAAAAAATAGGTGTGTGTGTGTGTGTGTGTGTGTGTGTGTGTGTGTGTGTTTTCCTTGGGTCACCCAAGCATTCAGTACCTATGTTCCTTACTTTGCACAAAAGGAGATAGGAAATGAAAAAATTAAAGATCGACAAAAGCTGACAGTACCACTGTAGAGAGATTCTAGTTTACCTCCAGATTTGACTGACATTTATTCTTTGGCAGGTGAGATGAAATTGTGATTAATAATAATGTCATCTATCTTATCAAACTAGGAACAACCAGTAAGAAACTCTCAAGTACATCTTTGCAGCCAACACATTCTTCGTTAACAGCAACACTTAAAAGTGAAGGTGAGTAATGATCATTTGCAGTCATTTTTCTTTCATGTATGTAATTCATATGCCATCATAATCACTCCTCAGGAGTGGACAACGCAGTGATTTTCAGTATATCAACAAGATTATGCAACCATCACACTATCTAATTCTGGAACATTTTCATCACTCCAAAAAAAAAAACCCTGTATCTGTTACTAATCACTTCCCATTTACTCCTTTCCCCACTTCCAGGGACCACTAACCTACTCTCTGTCCCTCTGCCTATTTTAGAAATTTCATGTAAAAAAACCACATAAATAGGATCATATTGTATATGATCTTTTGTATCCGACTTTCACATAGCAGACTGTTCTTAGGTTCATCCACGCTCTAGCATTTATCTGTAGTTCATTTATTTTTATGAGTGAATAGTATTTCATGGTTTGGATGTACCACATTTTATTTTTTAGTTGATGGACATTTTAGTTGTTTCTACTTTTCAGCTGTTACAAAAAATGCTGCTATGAAGATTCTTATACAAGTTTTTATGTGGCCTTGTCCCTTCCTTTATTTTGTGATATGTATCTTAACGTGGAATTGCTGAGGCACATGGTAACCCTATGTTTAACTTTTTGAGGAACTGATTTCCCAAGCAGCTGCACTATTTACATTCCCACCAGAAAAGTCAGAGGATATTAATTGTCCACTTTCCAATCCCTACTTGTTGCTATCTATCTTTTTCATCATAGCCATTCTAGTGGGCATGAAGTGGTATCATTGTGGTTTTGACTTACATTTCCCTAATGATGAATGCTACCAAGCATTTTTTCATGTACTTGCTGACAATTGTATATCTTCTTTGGGAAAACTGTCTATTTAAATCTTTCCATTTTTTTTTAAATTGGGTTGTCTTTTATCATTGGGTTGTATTTTTTTTAATATATTTTGCAGCCAAGAGCCTTATTGGACAGATATTTTGCAAATATTTTCTCCCACTCTGTAGATTGTCTTCCCATTTTCTTGATGGTAACTTTTGAAACACTATAATCTCTAATTCTGATGAAGCAAAATATATCTATATTTTTTTCTTTCATGTAGAGAAGGCAAAACTTTACCTCTACCCATTTTAGGTATTCATCTGGGACACTAACAAGAAGACAGATCAACAAAAAACAGCTTATTAACATGAGCAGTGCACAGCACATGAGAAACCTAAAACAAAGAGTAACTCAAAGCAGTGGTTTAGAATTTTGGTTTATATAACATCTAGAACAAAGAACAGTAAGTTTGTAGAAAAATGACTGGACAAAAGAAAGTAGTTTAGCTTCCAAGGGCAGGAAACAAATTGAAGGAAAGTATCTGGAAGGAAAACTAATGGAGTAAGTTTTGTTTGCGGAGTCCACTAGTTTCTTCTCTGGGCTGGTAAGAGTCTATCTCCAGTAAAAGGAGAATTTATATCCTGCCCTTAAGCAGAAAAGCTTTTCCTGCATTGGCTGCCTCTTAATTGGCTGCAGTCAAAATAATTTTTATGTCAAAGATATTTCAGGGTAACATTCTGGTTTCCTTCAGTCAGTGGGGTAAAATCTAAGAAACCATGCTCAACTCAAGGTCACAAAGATTTTTTTTTTAATTTTTTAATATTTTTTGTAAACATATAATGTATTTTTAGCCCCAAGGGTACAGGTCTGTGAATCGCCAGGTTTACATACTTCACAGCACTCACCACAGCATACACCCCCACAATGCCCATAACCCCACCACCCTCTCCTGACCCCCCTCCCTCCAGCAACCCTCAGTTTGTTCTGCAAGATTAAGAGTCACTTATGGTTTGTCTTCCCACCAATCCCATCTTGTTTCATTTATTCTTTTCCTACCCCCCAAACCTCCCACGTTGCATCTCCACTTCCTCATATCAGGGAGATCATATGATAGTTGTCTTTTTCCAATTGACTTATTTCGCTAAGCATAATACCCTCTAGTTCCATCCACGTCATTGCAAATGACAAGATTTCATTTCTTTTGATGGCTGCATAATATTCCATTGTATGTATATACCACATCTTCTTTATCCATTCATCTGTTGATGGACATCTAGATTCTTTCCATAGTTTGGCTATTGTGGACATTGCTGCTATAAACATTTAGGTGCATGTGCCCTCAAGGTCACAAAGATTTATGCCAGTGGTCTCTTCTAAGAATTTTATAGTATTAGCTTTTCTATGTAAGTCTTTAATTTTTGTTTATGGTGTGAGTTAGATGTCCAGTTTCACTCTTCTGTGTATAATTATCTAGTTGTCCTAACACCTTTTGTTGAAAAGACTATTCTTTCCCTGTTTAAATTGTGTAGGTGGCCATAAAAGTATGAGGTTCTTTTTTTTTTCCCCCGGGACTCAGATATATTCCATTTATCTCTGTATCTATTTTTATGCAAGAATCATACACTCTGGGGGGCGCCTGGGTGGCTCAGTGGATTAAGCCGCTGCCTTCGGCTCAGGTCATGATCTCAGGGTCCTGGGATCGAGTCCCACATCGGGCTCTCTGCTCAGCAAGGAGCCTGCTTCCCTCTCTCTCTCTCTCTCTGCCTGCCTCTCCATCTACTTGTGATCTCTCTCTCTCAAATAAATAAATAAAACCTTTAAAAAAAAAAAAAGAATCATACACTCTGCATTACCATTTGTATTAAGTTTTAAAATCAGGAAATGTGAGTCCTCCAACTTTTCTCTTCTTTTTCAAGATTTTTTCACTACCCTGGCTCACTTGAGTTTTCATAGGAAATTTAGGATCAATTTGACAATTTCTGCAAAATAACAACTGGGATTGTGATAAGGACAGCATCACATCTGCAGATCAAGTTGAGAGTATTGCCATCTTAATGATCTTAAATATTCCAATCCATGAATGTAGGACAACTTTCTTTTCATTTTAGGTCTTCTTTAACTTTTTTTAATAATGTTTATAGTTTTCAGTGTAGAAGACTTGCATTTTTTGTCCAATTTATTCCTAATATTTTATCCGTTTCATGCTACTGTAAGTGAAATCATTTTCTTAATTTTGTTTTTGGATTGTTCATTGCTACTGTATAGAAATACAATTTATCTTCATATATTGATATTGTACCTTGCCATCTTGTCAAATCCATTTATTTGTTCTAATTTGTATTTGTGTGTTGTGTGCATCTGTGCATGTGTGTGTGTTCCTTTGGATTTTCTGTATATAAGATTTATTTGCAAATATATATAGTTTAACTTCTCCCTTTTCAATCTAGATGCTTTTTTTATTTTTTTAGATGATTTTTTAAAATTTTCTTACCATTTTGCTCTTGCTAGAATCTCCAGTACAGCACTGAGTAGAAGTGATAAGAGAAAATTTCCTTGTTTTGCTCCTAATTATAAAGGAATGCTTTCATTCTCTCACCATTAAAGTATGATGTTATTGTGCATTTTTCAAATATGCCCTTAGGTTGAGAAAGTCCTCTTCTGTTACTAGTTTGTTAAATGTTTTTATCATGCAAAGGTGTTAGATTTTGTCATATGTCTTTTCTCAGCATATTGAGATTGCTGTGTGGTTTTTTATCCCTTATTTTATTAATAAGACATATTAAATTGATTTCTATATGTTGAAATAACCTTGCATTTCTGAGATAAATCTTACTTTGTCATGGCATATAATGCTCTTTATATGTTTCTGGATTTGATCTGTATTATTTTGTTCAGAATGTTTGTGTCTATATTCATAAGAGAAATAAGTGTGTAATGTTTTTGCCTAATTTTGGTATCAGAGTAAGACTAGCCTCCTAGGACAAATTAGGAAGTTCCTTCCTTTACCAATTTTTGGATGAGTTTATGAAGAATAGATCGTAATTATTTTTTAAATGTGTGGTATATTTTACCAGCGAAGCCACCTGGTCCTGGATTTTTCATTGTGTGTGTGTGTGTTTCTCTGATTACTAAGTCAATCTCTTTGCTCATTATAGTTCTATTCAGATTTTCTATTTCTTCTTTACTCAATTTTGGCTACAGTTGGTGATTTCCTGAGAATTTTCTCATTTCATATAGGTTATATAATTTGTTAAGATACAATTATTCATTGTATTGCCTTATAACCCTTCTTACTTCTGTAAGGATGATAGAAATGTGTTCACTTTAATTCATGATTTAGTAATTTGAGTCCTCCCTCTTTTTTCTTTTTCTGTCTAAGGGTTTGTCAATTTTGTCAATCTTGTCAAAGAAGTAACTTTTTATTTTATTAATTTCTTTATTGCTTTCTCCTTACCTATTTTATTTCTCTTCTTTCTAGTCTTTATTATTTCCTTTTCTTTCTGTTGGCTTTGGGGTTAGTTCTCTCTTACTAAATTTTTAAGTTGGCACACTGGAATATTAATATGAGATCTTTCTTCCCTTATAAACTGGATGTTTACACCCACAAGTTTCCCTCAGTTCTGCTTTTGTTACATCCCATAAATTTTGGTAGATTGCATTTCCATGTTTGTTCATCTCAAAGTATTTCCTAATATCCCTTGTTATTTATTCCTTGGACCATTGGTTATTAAGATTATTTTTAAATTTCTACATGTTTATAAATTTCTCCCTATTACATTTAAAAAATTCTTTCCTCTTCAGTGTATTTACTACCTTCCAGAAGTTACGACCCTTAAGCATACAATTTTAAAATTTAATTTAATGTAATTTTAAAAATAAATGATTATGGAGGGCACATATTGCATGGAGTAATGGGTGTGGTGCATAAACAATGAATTCTGGAACACTGAAAAGAATAAAATTTTAAAAAATGATATAGAGACTATTCAACAGTATATTGTAGATATACTTGCCTCTGTTAGGCAGAGCATAATAAGCATTACTTGCAAATGTTTTGCAATATTTTTCAAAGTACTATTTTTATGCACTATTTTTATAATAGTGCATTTGGCTCTTATTTTAAGAAATGTGTTATCATTTTTAAAGTTTATTTTTAAATTATTATTTGAAGATGGAAAAACTAGGTTTCAGAGAGGCTAAGTGACTTAACAAAAG